TCTGAACAGTCCAGTGAGAATGTACTTAATACAAGTCATTCAAAGACTAGAGTTAAACATTAAAATGTATCCTTGGATTTATTCAGGATTCAATGCAATTCTGAATATTTATTAAGGTAGAACCTGTGTTATTTATATAAAAAAAGAGTGAAATTTCTAAGTGAAATAACAGAACGCATTTTTTGATGACCTACAATCCAGTAGGTAAAATCCTTTCTGCTCAGAACCCAAGGAACGGATAGTGACAGCAAGTGGAAGTTATAACATACAAAAAAGAAATTACGCAGGAAGCACCATCCATTCAGGAGACTGAAAAACCACGTGACCGAAACCCTTGTTAAAGTAGAAAGATGAACATTTAAAATGGTAGAGTGTATTTGATCTTCAAAATGTTATGTAACTGGCATCTCGGTGTCTCATGATGTCAGGTGACGGTCAGAATTTCCATTTGACCAAAAGTAATAAGTACTACCTATTTCCCAGGCATAAATAAAATGTATTTGTTCTCGAAGATACAAATTACCTCAAACAAAACCTTTGAGTAACTTTCAAAGATTAAAATTTGTCACAAAAGTCACAAACTTTGGAAAAATAATGCAACAAGTTCTTCCTTGTGACCATTCTTTACTGCAACCTGTGCAGTCTGACTCTCGCTTTGTGGCCAGTCAAACAGACTTTTCACAACTCTTGCCATTTTAGTATGCAACATGCATCCAATGGTCATTAATCAGTCTTGAAAGGAAGCACATCATCTTGTTGCACCACCAACAACCGCACTGGCTGTCGTCTGACAAACTACAGCACAAGTTTGTGCTGACGAAGTGAAGCAGTTTGAGGATGCCCTCAGACTACAAAAATAAACAACTGTTATAGTGCTTCTGAACCTTCTCAAACATACAGAAGTGTACAAGAATATGTTGTTTCAAGGCTAAGCAGCACCATCCATTCAGGAGACTGAAGATCCACGTGATCAAAACCCTTGTTAAAGCAGAAAGATAAACATATAAAATGGTAGAGTGTATTTGCTCTTCAAAATGTTAAGTAACTGGCATCTCGGTGTCTCAGAATGTTTTCACACTTGAATCCTTTTTATAAGAACCAGAAGTGGACCTAGAAAAGTGTCCTTGAAAGAGGACGCTGGGGTCTCTGGCGTCTTTGTGGTCATACTGTAGCTTAAAGTAAAGATAAAGATACGTCCTTGAACAGACTCCAAAATAGCCCAGTGTCCACACAACTCATCCTAATCTGGTTTAAAGAAGAATGAGTAGTTTTTGGGACCGGTAATGCAATGCAGAATAACCCATACACAAGGTCATAACCTGTATACAGTGTCCGAGACGAAGGAAATGAACAAGCAAAATGTTGTTTGCTGGTTGATCTCTATTGCTTAGAAGTCCTAAAGTTGAATGAAGCAGAAAAGTGAATATAACAAAAAAACAATCAATTATAATCTAAAACTACTCAAAACATGTTTTAATAATACTAAATACTACTGATATATAGCCTAAACACATATTTTTTTCATTCATTATTCCAGTCTTCAGTGTCAAGTGATCCGTTGGAAATTATTTTACGTTTTCTAAATTTGGAAGTAAATTTTTGATATTCATTCAGACACTATGATAGATTTTTTTCTTACCTTCAAATGTTGCAGTGTAGTCACGTGGATTTTGTAATGAGTATCGCCCCTTATTCTTTTATCGCAGATCTGAGAAACGAACGTTATCAATATTATTTGTCTATAATAGTCACATCAATGCATTTACATAAAGTTATAATAAACATGATAAACATTAGTAGGCTATCTGTTGTTGTGCACTACGGTCAAAATAAGACGGATTTACCATGCAGTCGATGAAGGTGTTGGCCTGGTCATCGTCGTACACTGTCAGCAAATCAGACATCTCTGCAAACTAAAATAAGACACAGTGTTGTTTTATAGGGAGCTAAGCACATAATATGTTCTTATACAGTCGTGCGAGATTAATACAGTGCAGAAAACCTTAACTTATTCAATTTGATGCATCACACATTTCATACACTTCTACGTAATGTTAATGAAAATTGCGACGCACTTACTGTAACGCCTCGCCCGCAAGATAATTAGCGATAGATTATCGAATTCGCGATCTGCGCTTTTAATTCTCCTAACACAAAACTATTTGAACAGTGATGATAAAGTGATGTTACAAACAAAATTTAGTGAAAAGCAACTTATACGCTAGGCCACTTCTTTCAACCTTGGCTTCTTCTGTGGTGAAATTATATTGCCTACGAAAACGTTTGTACCACCTAGTGGATGGGTGCTAATGTGACGTCACCAGTGACATTTTACCAGTGGTGAACGCAAAGCATTTTTATCTTTGTAGTTTTTGTATGACAGATGAAGAATCGTTACCTCATCTCTTTTATGGTTGTTCTTTCTGCATTACATTTTGGAAAAATGTTGAAAGTTACCTGTCTTTCAAAACAAAGAAAACAATAACAATTGAAGGGAAACAGATTATTACATATTTTGATTGTAGAGATAGTAGTTTGTGTAATATTGTAAACCTTTTCATTTTACTCGGCAAATTCCATATTCACAAAGCGAAATTTTCTAAAGCAAAACCATGTTTTAAATTTTTTCAAATGGAAACTGACATATATTTTCAGTCTCTGATAAGGGTTAAAAATAAGAAAGCGATATTAGCAACTGAATTATAGGCTACTCTAAAATATTTAAGTGAAAATCTAGGAATATATTTCTCTTGTTATAGTTAGTTTGTAAGTCTGTCTATTTAAGCTATGTATTTTTATTTATTTATTTATTTATTTATTTTTTCTATTTTTTCAATTAATTTTATTCTGATGTTTATTTATTTATTTTTGCTGTATAATTTCTGTTTACGAACTGTGATGATTGTATGTTTGTAATCTGCATTCTAATAAAAATAAATAAATAAAAATAATAATAAAAAAAGAACGCAAAGCATTTTGGGAATCTGTATAACTACCATATAGGCTCCTAAGGGAATGACTCTTGTCGGCCCAGAAAGTCAATGAAGAAAATGTTTAAATATTCAAGAAAAAGAATAGTCGAATAAAGTCGTTATTTTTGTTTGTTTTTTCGCACAAAAAGTATTCTCGTCGCTTGATAAACTTATAGTTGAGCCACTGTAGTCACATGGAATATTTAAACATTTTCTTCATTGACTTTCTGGGCCGTCAAGAGCCAGTCCCTGTGGTAGTTATACAGTCCCAGGAGCCTATGTGGTAGTTATACAGCTCTCATATTTAATCAAAAATATCTTCATTTGTGCTCCGAAGATGAACGAAGGTCTTACGGGGTTGGTACAGCATGGGGGGTGAGTAATTAATTACTTAATTTTGACTTAAAATGTGATATTGCCTGCACAGCTCTTGCGTTTCGTTTGGTCACACACCACAAGGTGTCACTGTGGCCTCAAAGCTTCAGCTCTGCCACTGAGCTCGATTGCTGATGTCTGAGTTAAAACACGCCCCCCTCATTAGCATACGGAGAAAGAAATGTTGTAATAAATAAATGTGGAAATAATTAAATGTGGAAATAAATAAATGTATAAATAAATAAATAAATAAATAAATAAATGTGAAAATAAATAAATGTAGGCATAAAAACATAAATACATCAATGCATGTGGAAATAAATAAAAGTGGAAATAAATAAGTGAATAAATGTATATATAAATAAATGTGTGAAAAAATACAATTATAGATAAATATGGGAATAAAAGTAAAAATACTCATTTATTTGTACTTTTTTACATTTCTTTGTATATTTATTTATGTATTTATTTATTTTTAATTAAGTCAACTTTGGCATTCCATAGTAGATATCATAATTATATCTTGTCCTCATTGCAGAACACAAAATCCAGGGGGGGGGAGTTGGATCCAGATCCAACTCCTCCCACCTTACATTCCCAAACCTACCCATCTCCGCCCCCTGATCCCAAACCCCACCCCTAATCCTGCCCATCTCCGCCCTCTGATCCCTAACACCCCTAATCCTACCCATCTCTCCACCCCTTATCTGGATTTAACTCCGCCCCCTGGATCTCGTGTACTGCAATGAGGCGCTACTGGGACTGCTGTACCACCTGACCGCAGCAAATTCATTTAGGCACTGATAGTAGTGCCACTACCAACGCATAATTCCCAGAACGAGGACGTGAAGAGCTCTAAATAAAACGTCTGAAAGGAGCAAGCAACACGATTTCGAGGATGGCCTTGTTTAAAATTTAAAATCGTATATTGAGTTAATACATTATGAAAACTCAAACCAACACATTCTCACCTGTGAAAGTTATCCCATTGCTTCTGGGATTTAAATATCCGAAACCAGAAGAACCCAAGCAATGTTGTGGTATCATTGATTCTTACTGTGAGTGACGAAACGCTAACCGTTCCAAGATGGCCGGCGCGCCGACGTGACTGGAGCATTGGTGTTGGGCGGTTGAATGGGAATCTACTTTTATACATTCTATGGTTGAACGGAGCGGTTTAAAGAGATGTTCTAGTGTTTATCGCGGCCGGCCAGTACATGTTGACAGATTTCACTTTACGAAACTCATCCGTCGCGTTTGCGACATTTCATTGCTTTCATAATGACGAATAACCCGCGAACAGATCTCACAGTAATCAAAGAGGATTTAATAAAACAGAGCGTGTTTTTTTTTTTTTTTTTTTTTTTGACTAAATTCAGGACCAAGCTCTTCAACCGCAGATATTTAAATATTAAATAATCTTTACATATCCTACCGGTAGCTATGTTACATAAAGTTTTCAACCGTTTTAGTCACCATAAGCTATTTAGCCAACAAGTTTGTCTGTAGCTAGCCTATAATGCTGAGTTGTTTCAATGTTTGGGTCAAATATGGACAATTTAATTTAAATTTAATTCTAAATGAAATTTAAAAAATAAAATATTTTTTAAGTTTGTTCATATTTGACTTAAAAAATGGATTGGAACAAACCCAGCATTTTTGTCATATTTAGGCTATATCACAAATATAATCACACAACGCTGCCGCTATTCTAACTGTCAGAAGACATTGCGCGAGAATAATCTCATGCGGCCCGAAAATTACTGACATAAATTCTATCATGCATTTATGAAACCCTAATTCAAAGATTCATGCGATTCAAATAAACGGTCAGAATGTCAGTTGTTAATAGCCTATGTACACTTGTTGATCATGAAATATAGCCTAACATTTACCAGATCTTGTTCTAACAGTGTTTCAAAACGTTTTTATTAAACATAGCCTATATTAAACATATTTAAATGATAAATTCAACAGAACACAGCCTACGTTTCAAAAACAATAGCCTATACAGAATGAATGAGCCATAAAGACATTAACAAAATAAATAAATAAACACGTTTAAACATACACATCTAGTTTAGAGTAGCCTACGAACAAAATACAGCTTTAATACATCAACATCACCCATGCCAATTAAACTTAAACAGACGAGGTTTCCCACGCGTGGCTGTCACGAGCTTCCTCGCACAGAGCCTGAGAGAGAAGAGAGATGCTGGAGGATATCAGTAGCAGCGCAAGAAGAAACTATTGCAGGCTGTTCCTCGCAGACAGTCGCAGAGTCTCCCGATGCGCGGGCCGTGCTTCATCGCGCAGCGCTCGCCAACATCACACTAACACACGACAGCACATGAGACATTTTTATAGGCGATGTACTTGGTGATGAACAGTATTTGTAAGATAATCGGAAGAAGTATGCTAGAAGAAAAAGTGGAACAATGCTTACCCTCGGAATCACGCTAGCTTTTTTCTCCACAGATATCCGATTGTCCTGATCTCCATCCAAAAGTTCATCGAGCGCCTCAGTCTAAACGCAGACGGCGAGATTAGATTAGACACTAAACAGAATTTAAAGATGCATTTTTGAGGTAGTGTGATATCTAAGTAAAAAATAAAAAGTTAGTGTAATGTGATAATCATTGCATTTACAGCAAATTACGCGTTTTGAGGAAAATGAAAATGCTGAGTTGTTTCAATGTTTGGGTCGTTGAATATGGACAAACCCAACAATTGGGTTTAAAAGTTCAATTAAAAAATGACGCTTTTCCATTTTAATATAGAGAACTGCTCGCAATGTTTTTCAGATGCTGAAACTTTTTTACATCAACAGGTTAAAACTGTATTTGCTGAGTTGTGCTATATGCCAGTGTGGTTGGTCTCTCACCAGGTCTCGTGTGATGAACTGCTCCTCTTGTGTGGTCAGGCGGTTGTCCAGTGACATCTGACCCCTGCAGACGCACAGCAGCGCGAGGAGAACGCCCAGGTAAACGACCGCGCGGACGCTGTCCATGGTGCTGAATGCGCGAGTCAAAGCTGAGGATTTAAAGTTCAGAAAAATTCTCTTATACTTTCTGCTTCAGCGAAACCAGCGTTGAAAGTTTTCCTCTGCTCTTGTGCTCTGGCTGCCGCTTGCTATAGCTTCAGGTTACTGGGAAACCTTCTCTATTTATACGATGTTCCGGCTACCTGATGTATTCACGCAACAACGTCACCACATACGTGTTTTTTTGTTTTTTTTTGAAAAAGAAGCTGTGAGTCAGTCTGAATGAAACACGACATTACTTTAATCATGACCTACGATTCATTTTGGGCTCCCCAAAGAACCTTTCAGTTCTTAAAAGTACAATTTTTCTTCTTGTTAATTTTAAATAACATTTTCCAATAAATTTGTGGGCATTGGAAAGTTTGGTAACGCTTTAGATTACAGCCCGGACAGTACTGCGTAATTAAAAGGATTTTACAGCTTAATTTTTGGTAAATAAAGTGTATCTATAATACTTATAAGGTAACAATATTTTAAGTTTGGGGAATAAAGGGGTAACAACCAGGAGAATTAAAAAATGATGCATTTAAGGGGTACTTATTCTACTATTATGACAATCTTACATTTGGGAGCAATTTAGGACATACACTCACTGTAAAAAATATTTTCAAGATTTGTTATCACAACATATTTTCTTTTGTCAAATCAACTTTATAATAATTTATTAAGTTGAAATAACTTTCTGATGATTAAATTAATCTCCATCATTGTATATTAACTCACTTTTTCCAGTTCAATCAACTTACAATTTTAAGGCAACCCAGGTTACTTACTTTTTTAAGTTAAACCAACAATATTTTTTTTACAGTGTAGTAATTACATTTTTTCTTTTGTAAAATCAACGTAAACAATTTATTTAGTTCAGATAACATATAATTTTGAGTTTCTGATGATTAAATCATTCTCCTTCATTGTATTAAATGAACTTAAAATTTTAAGGCAACCAGGTTACTTACTTTTTTAAGTTAAACCATCAATATTTTTTTACAGTGTTTTTTTTTTTTTTTTTTTTTTTTAATAATGGTGAACCAGTACATACTGTATGGCTTTTAAAAATTATAGGGTACATATATATGCATTTATAAAATAATCTTTTTAACAAAAGTGCACTGAAAACGAAAAATATTGCAACATTTGCTTAAATATTGGGGAAAGATACTAATTTTTCATGTAGTGGTGATTTTTGTTTTAATTCTCCTGGTTGATACCGGAACTTTACATATTGTTCCCTTATACTTACATGCAAATACTTTATAGGTACACTATAATTACTATAATTATACATTCCTCTTAATTACACAGTACTTTCTGGGCTGTAATCTATAGCACTACCAAAAGTTTCAATGGGTGTGAAACGTACATGGAAACAAAGATGCTTAATTTTTAAGATAATAGAGTGAACATGTGACATGAAGATTGTCATCAGAAAGTACAGTATGCCCTTATAATCCTCTCTCTCTCTCTCTAAAATTACTCATTAGCATTTATTACATTCACATTTAAAAGTCGGTCTCAGCATTTCATCTGTTCATTGTTGTATCAAAGATTGTGTGAAACGTTGGCAACAGTGATTACAGTTAAAAAGTCTTCATGCAATTAAATTGAGCAAAAACAAGAGCATTAATGACAGGTCTTTTAATGAAGGGTTTTATGAATCCCCTTTTTTTTTTGGCAGTTACACACCGCTAACTGGCAACCGCTGTTAAACAATATTTAATTATCTATAAAGATGAATATATCAAGTCATTGAATCTATATTCACACATATCATCGGTGTCCATACGCACTGGTTTGTGACCTACACTCAAAAAATAAATAAATAAATGTAACTGTCTAAACCAGGAATTACAGGTCAGGAAATTAGCAAAACCTAAGCAACTAGACTGAAGTTTTTGGCAGGATATGGGAAGTTGTGTGTGAGTGATGAATCACAATAAAACGTGACTTGCATGCTGATGCTCCAGAGCGGCGTCTTCCAAAATCTGCTGAGAAAATAATGAATGCATCTCTGCCAATGTGAAGCAAGAAGAGGCATTTCAGCCGCTGGTGTTGGCGAGCTTCACTTTAAAACGTCCTTTAAAGGGATAGTTCACTTTGAAATTAATTTTTGATATGTTTTAGCTTACCTCAAGGGCATCCAAGATGTAGGTGTCTTTGTTTCCACAGTAGTTTCAATTTTGATATTTTTAGGTCAAACCGTTCTTATCAGTCAGTCATAATGGAGGTCTATGGTCACCACCTCAAAAAGCATGCACAGAGAAGTCCAAATTAAACATGATTTAATGACTCGTAAATGTAACCACACATTGATGGCCTAAGACACAAAATCAGCAGTTTGTGTGAGAAAACGAACAGTATTTATATCGTTTTTACCTCTTGTAACCACAGCCACGTCCAAGTGATCTGTGGGCACGGGCGCTTCGGTCTACGCAAGCGTTGGAAACCGCCAGAAGTGATCTAGATTCCAGATTTGAACCCTATAGGGAATATTTAGTCTCACATTAAATTCCAACAAACTGGGAGACGTTTCTCAACTACTCATTAGCTGTTTGAAGACATTTACATTCAGTGGCACAACACTTGTAAAATATTTAAGTTGGGAAAGACTTTTCTATGCTAACAGTATTTGTGCTATTCCTGCTAATTTCCTGACAAGTGATTTGTGATTGAAATGGTTAAAAACATAAAAAGGTAAATATTTTTCCATATTTGCTTTGGCCCTTTTTTCTTTTCTTTTTGGTTTTTGTCCAGGAGTGTCAGATATTGTTCTTCGTGGAATATCTGCTGTATGTATGACCTATATCCCATCTGTCAATGCTCTTCAGAATAAAAAAGGATCAATTTTCATCCTTGTTCTGACCTTTGTATGTCAAGTTTTACTTGAAACGGGTGAAATGTTCTGTGTTAGACAACACTGTGCAGGGGGATGCAGATTGGCATCTTAAATTAACAGACGGGAAAAAAAATCTATGAAAAGGCTACAGAAAAGGATGCAACATTGTAATTTTAAATAATTATGTGTGATGTCAAAATAAGCACAATTTACACAATATATATATTTTAACTATTTATCTCTTAAGTTGACTTTCATTTAACATAGTTTTGCCTTTTGTCAGTTTATTGTTTTTAAAACTAAAGAATCAAGCAATAATTATATTGGAATAGAAATATGCTGCCGAAATTTCAGGTCATTTTTAATCCCACAGTTTATTGCTAAGAATTTTAAATGTATTTGACTCTTGAGATTTCCCCCATAATGTCTTGAGCAGAGCATGGAGGAAGACAGCTTCTCGACAATGTCTTAGATTCGGATTCGGTCAGATCTCTGACATTTCAGCACCTCAGCGTGTCTCATTTCTCTCCTCTCATCCTCTCAACGGCTCGTAATTAAAGCTCCGCTCTTCTAATGCCAAAGCTCACACTATTGTGAAAACCTGTGAACATATAAGTAACTCATATCATCCATGCCAGATCATCCAGACGTCTACCACTAGTCCTCAGGGAATTCATCTTCACCTCAAGAGTTATGACTATCATTTCTGTCATCTTAACAGAGCTAAGACTGCTTATGCTTCTTGTCTGTAAAGAAATGGGGGCATTTGGATTTATATCATATGTAATACATTGAAATTCATTCACTTGCTATCTAGCTGTTTATAAAAGTGACCAAAATTATGCACTTTTAACAGTAAAATCAGTTTAAAAGTCTTTCTGAAAATAAAACAGTCCAATAACAGCATGATATTGCACTTTAAAATTATAGTTGATATTTTAAACATCTGATATCCTTATTGATAACCCACTTTAGACATTCTTCTAACTATACAGTAAGTAACTTTGCAACTACATGTCAACTAACAGTCGTTCGAGTAGGCTATTAGTAGACTGTTATAGACCTTACGCACCAGAGAAACGTGGGCGCCATCATCTTTAGAATATTGTCTTTGAACTTCCGTTTTTGCGGTCGCTCTGTATATGGCATCGCTGTCGAGGAGTAATTTGCTTTATGCACGGCGGTATTTCCGGTGAAGGCTCGATAACTTCCGCCGATCGTAGAGTCCAATGTAATACCGAGAATTTATATTGAATTTTATACTCCATCCCATGGTTATACTAAAGAAACGTTAGTCACAAAAACAGATAAAAACAGACACCCCTCGTTGTGTTTATGCTTCTTTTTAAAATTATATTAAATAAACACAACTATATAAAATTACATCTAAAAATAGGTACGTTTCGTTTCAAAGACGGGAGCCGGGAGGACAGTAAATTTTGAAGATTCTGCCATAATCCCGTTTTCCTCGGTTTTCCTCAGAATGGACGAGCATCCTTACGTCAAATGCGGAACTTATGCGTGTATATAGCCCATTAGCTGGTGAAGTGGATTTACTTATTGTAGAGTTAACAAAAGTTATCATGAGCATTGTAATGTTTATCATAAGCATTGTAAAGCAGATGTCTTAACAAATGTCGCCCAGGAAATTTTTTACGAGCAGTTCATACCTATGCAAGATCGCTGTGAATACAGACCGTCCGGAAGTCAAAAGACAACGAGCGCAACGCTGAAAAGAGGCGGGGCTACATAAGGTCTATAGGGTTAGTAGAAAAAGTTGATATGCTGTTGTGGAGTTACTTCCATAATGGCTTGGAAAGGATAAAATAAAGAGTTAGCAGATATTAATCAGACAGTCTACTAATAGCTACTCTAATGCCTGCTAGTTAACATGTAGTTGCAAAGTTACTCATAGTTAGTAGAATATACGGTAGCCTGCTCGATGCAAGTGCTGTAATAAGGAACGGCTGAAGGGCATTGTTAAAAAAGTGCAAAGTGTAGTAACCCCTTCAGCCGTTACTTATTCACGATCCAGCTCTTGCCTCGAGTACCTTATTGCTTTTATAAAAGGTTTACCACACAATAAAAATATTAAAGTAAAAAAAATTATGTATTAGTGCAACTTTCATGAAAGTTTCATATTCGCAAATTGAATAACATAGATGCCTACCTCGTGATGACAAATCGGATCGAGAAAGACAGTAGGATAAATTATTTACGACAGCGGAAATGGACAATTCCGCTTCCAACCTGTAGGGCGACCGCAGAGGAAAAGTTACTTGGTGTTGCTTTAAGTCTAGTAGTGAATGTTTAATGAACAGTAGGATAGCCATATTCATCTACACAGCCGAGGCAAAACCAAAACAATGTTCTTCTGCTAAGTGCATGCAGTTTTGATTTATAACCACTAGAGGGCCAAAAGTTACAGTTAGTATTAATTTACTGTAAACTGAATTCATAAAATGAACCCGTAAAAAGGAACCCGTATATAAACGAGGCACCTGACAGAACCCTTTAATTAAAGCCAGTTCACACATACCAACAAACATGTTTGCTGGACCTAAGTGTAACCCCTGTAGGTTTTCAGCTTGTTTTTACCTTACTGAACATGTTTAATCAGCGTTTGTTGGTGTCTGTTGGGCCAGTGTGAACATGACAAAAAAAAATATCCAATAGCCAACTTGTTTGCCTTTAAAGTTATATTTAAGCTTTTCTTTTTAGGGTGCCGGGTGGTCCTTCTGAGAGATTAACATGTGTGTGTGGACGCGTGCTTGTGTTAATGTGCGTGTGCTGATGGTTTGCTTCTTGCATTATTCAGTAGCGCCGGATCTGCCACAGATCCACATCTCTGGAGTGTCAGACCATTATTCAACCCTTCAGCTGGTTAGCACAGTAACCTTGTGCAGAACACGGAGGAGCCAGCTTTATATACAAAATGTATGACCTGATGCATCTGGAATCAAATGAAAGACCTTACAAAGGAAAAGCATGTACCACTATTGCATGTGCAAACATGCGCATGTGTGTGTGACCCGTATTTGCCGTCCAGATAAAACCATAGTAGTGTAAGGGTCTTAAATGTTCATCCTTGGGTTGTGTGTGGATTTGGGGTTCCTTTCGCAAAGCTATTTAAAGTCTATATTTGTTGTGGTAATCAAACTAAGCAATGCGGTTCAATTCCTTTTCATTGACAAAACAATACAGGCATTTTTCAAGGTCAGTACGTTAAATATCAACGCATTCTCACCCCAAGGCGTCACCTTTGACCATGCTTCAATATTTGACGTTTTAGGCGCCCTTTAGCGTCACTTACATGACGCGATCCTACGGCGTCATCTAACTGACGCTAAAGGAAAGCGTCGGTTAGAGGATGCGGTTAGGTTTAGGTGTGGGGTGGGGGTAGGGTACACGCGATCCTAGGGCGTCATCTAACTGACGCTTAAGGGCGCCTAAAGCGTCAGATATTGAAGCATGTCCAAATGCTTCCCAAGGCGTCAGTTAAGTGACGCCTTGGGGGTGAGAATGGGCTGTAATTAACTGATAGCTTTTATTGTGTGAAAAATGTGCAAAAAGGGATACAATAGCTTGTCACTGAGGGACAACTTTATCTCTAATAAAGCCCTAAAAGCTGCATTTTAGACTTTAGAGTAATATGTACTGCACTGAAAAAAATTATTGTGATTTTAACGGTAACAGGCTGTAAAAATGCTACAGTAAAAAACTGTTAATTGGTTAATAGAAAGTTTCCTTACTATACTGTATGACTGGTTATATAAAGGTACATTTCATGTAATTTTACTGTAAAATACTGTTAAATTTACAGTTTTGGAAGTGGAAAAGAACAAGTCGAATAATTTACAGTGAAAAAAAATGTAAATTGACATTCCCACAATTCCCTGCATGACACTTCACATTTAATATATATATATATATATATGTGTGTGTGTGTGTGTACTTTTTTAAATAACTGTTTATTAATAGTTTTCTCAGTTTTTTTCTAATCAGTTATGTACATTAGGGTTTTATTTTTCACTTAATGTTGTTATATTAATGTTTATTGCATTTTATGATGGTGTTTAATGTTTATGTGAATGACACTGTGCCGCTTATGTAAAATAGTGTTAGTTATCTTGTGGAAGAGTTGATTACAATGAGCTTTAATTGATCATTTGACTCTCATCACTGCTGATATTCAATGGAACAAAGCAGATATTAATACTTCAAAAGGTCAGTAATTTATCATTATATCAGTTAATGAAATATGGTTTATCACTGTAAAATTATATACAGTTTAATGTCTGTTAAACCTAAAATGTTGCTATCGTATTTTCAACAGGAAAACACTGGTAACCACAGCTGCCAGTTTTTTTCATGTATTTAACAGATTATTTTTTTTACAGTGTACCATTTTAAGGGTAAATAATGTACAAAGATGCCCCTGTAAAGCAACAGTCCAACCAAGATTGACTGTATATTGATTTTCTTTCTTCTGTGGAACATTAAACAGTTTCCGTTCAAATTGACCTCCATTTTATTTAAAATGTAATTAACTCTTGGGATCTGTAACTGTTTGGTTACCAGCATTCATCAAAATATATGATTTTATATTCTACATAAGAAAAACAGTAATTTGAGTTTGGAATGACATGTGGAGTAAACATTTCTGACACTGATAGAGGAACCCCAATATAAAGAATTTGGCATCAAAATACATATCCCAATTAAAACACCAGTGAAAGCATTAAATGAACTTAACAGAATAATTGTAGTTTTTAATGGACAGATTGCATAAATGCATAGTGACATCATCAGTGTGGCCTGCATGTCCTTGTATTGATAAATTTCAGTGGCGAACATGTTTCAGAATCTGTTCGCTCCTGATGGCTTTGGTCTGTTAGATCAAGACTGAAAGTGGTCTGACTGTGCGCTGAGCTGAAGTAAAAAACACAGCCTGTTTTTCCTTCTCCGCTCAATCCTCAGCTGTTCCTTACACTATGATTCCAAACTGATATGAAAGTGTTGATATGGAAACACACTGGGACAGGAAAACAGAGAACATCACTGAAATAAATCATTACTGAAGCATGACCATGAGTGTGAAACATCAGTTGAATGCTGGATGAAACGCCACACTGGCTGTATGAACACACTGATTCACAAATTACATTTAAAAAAGTGACATGACAGAGAAAGGAACATGATTTTATTCTAGAACATACTTTTTTCATGAAATAATTACGAAGTGATTTCAGATGCAGCCTTGACGTATCGTTTGTTTAACTGGTTCTTATTCATCCCAACGGCATCAGTGTTCGTTTTCTTAACTCTTTACTGACACCAACTGGTCTGGATGCATTAAAATTGGTTCATCAATCAAGGTGAAGTTTTGTTAGATTTGTGTAGTTTACACAGAGACTTGCATTTGAAATGCCGCCAAAACGCAGTTGTCGTGTAAACGAGAACAGACAAAACGCAGAAAAAGTTTCCTGTTTATAGTTGAAAACGGTGTCGTGTGAACGGCCTCTAACTCAGTCAAATGCAAGACACAACAGATCATGTGATTTCAACATGGTGGCCCCCATAAGGTGTTCAGTCGCTCCTCTGTGTCTAGAAGACTGACTGGTCTGGACTGGTTTTTGTTTTCGTAACCATTGTGAGCACACGTCCTGAAAAGTAATGTTTGGTGAGCAAGTCAGGGAAAAGAACAATTGTAGTCTGGAAGCCTGTCTAAAAGTAAGACTGTTCAATTCCTCATTCCTTATCCCTAAAGAGCCAGTCTGACTAAAACGTCAGATTCCACCCGCGAGATTTTCCAGAGCAGAAGCGCCTCCCTTTATCAGAAGCACATCTCATTTCAAAGGAGCAGTACAGGACATAAACTGTCTGAAGAGCTCTGATACGGATCTGTTTTAGATATGGCCTGTCGTCATCAGCGCTGATCCGCGTTTTAATGTTTCTGACCTTACCGTGTTTGTTTATGAACACTCTCAGACGCCTCTGTCTGTGTTTCTCCCACTGACCTATTGTGTTTTATGGCAGAGTCAAGCCTAAAAATCAAGAATATTTTGCTGATTGTTGCGACAAGCTGCATGATATTTTTCCTCCAGTGTTAGTGATCTCATTGGCAGCCACTGACAGCAGTTAAATGAATAAGAGCAGAGCCCATTGATACGGAAAGGCTAATCCTGACACAATCGCTGTTGTGTTCTAATTGGCTAACGTTGACTAAAAACTGGCTATTTCTAAGGACTTGACCCAGAATTGTGTCAGTCAGTCGCCTTGTTGATGAAGACGTGAAGCGTAAGGCTTTGAATACAGATTGCCCTGAGTGCTATTAGTTTAACAGATGTAATATCCTGAATAATAACTTTCGTTTTTTGTGATCGTGATACCTTCTTTGATGATTGAGATCACACAGATGGGAATTAATTGAAAAAATATTTATTCAGAATTTGAAACAACACATAAAAAATGCTCAACTAGCTCACATATTCATGTGCATTTTGGTGTAAATCACCATCTCTATTTGTAAAAAAAAACATCACAAAATAAAAATGTGCTTGTATCTAAGGATTACTGAGGAAATAGTGAGGCTTAGGAGAAGTGCAGTGGCGAAGAAAAGTGCCTACATGTAATATCTGCAAGAGGTCATGACCTTTGAATGACTAAAAAAGCTTGATCTAATTGTAGAAATCCAGTGTTTCTACAGTTTCCCCAAACATAACATGATTCCCGGTCAGTGATATATATATATAACTTTCTTATGGATGAAACTGGCATTAAAAAATCAAATCGTACATTATGTACCACTGATTTGCTTGTTTCTCAACTTACATTTCTGACACATTTATTCTCGCAAAAGATATGCACATTATAGATGCTTTTAAACTGACAAAGTCTCATGAAAGAGACAAGTGTGTTAAAACTGCAAAAAACTGCCGACAGTGGGAAGAGAAAGATCTTGTTTTTCTCAATTTCCTCAAATCACCTGCTCTGAGTCATATCCTGAAAGAATATCCACAAAAGAACCTGTTATTTAATTTAGCCCCATTTCACATTCATTTTACATTCCATTGATCCAGCCTTTGCGACCTCTGACCTCTGTGCTCTTGTTTTGCGGTGACAAAGAATAACGAACAATGTGTCTTTTTGTTTACAGCTTGCAAGCCGTTTCTTGTCATGGTTTGTCCTTTATCCATTGCTGTGTTTGTTTGTGTGTGCGTGTGTGTGTGTGTGTGTGACTGTCTGTCTGTACTGGATGTCCAAATGTCTTCAGTTCAGGTCATCTGTGCATCTGTTCTTCCTCCTCCTGGACTTCTAGAATAATTGGAGAAACAGAAAGCAATTGAGTCTAAAGTATTAAAAGATGTTATCACTTGTTTATTGGCTAGATGTTTATCTCATCAAAAGTGCAGTTGTATTTGGTGGAGAGCAGGAGCACATGTTCTGCAATGTTATTAGTGTCAAGAACTTCAGAGGCTTCCAGACAATCATTTCAAATCACAGTAAATTGCTGATGTGCTCTGTGGTGTTTTGTGTGTCCTGTTACACCAACACTCCCTACAAAGCCTACTGAAAGGGTTAGTTAACCCAAAAAATGAAAATTATGTCATTAATGACTCATGTTGTCCCAAGCCCGTAAGCCCTCCGTTCATTTTCAGAACACAGTTTAAGATATTTTAGATTTAGTCAGAGCTTTCTGTCCCTCCATTGTAAATGTACTGTATGTGCGATACACTGTCCTTGTCCAGAAAGGAAATAAAGACATCATCAAAGTAGTCCATGTGACATCAGTGGGTTACTTACAATGTTTTGAAGCATCGAAAATACATTTTGGTCCAAAAATAACAAAAACTACGACTTTATTCAGCATTGTATTGTCTTCCGGTTCTGTCATGGATCCGCGTTCAGTGACGCTGCTGACGTGTGTCTGGTGCGTCCGTGTGTCTTCCTCTGTGTGGAAATACTTAGATATGTTTGCGAAGATTGTTTTGTACAGCGTGCTTCACTGAACGCGGATCCACAACAGAACCGGAAGACAATACAATGCTGAATAAAGTCGTAGTTTTTGTTATTTTTGGACCAAAATGTATTTTCAATGCTTCAAAACATTGTAACTAACCCACTGATGTCACATGGACTACTTTGATGATGTCTTTATTTACTTTCTGGACACGGACAGTATACCGTACATATATTTACAATGGAGGGACAGAAAGCTCTCTGACTAAATCTAAAATATCTTAAACTCTGTTCCGAAGATGAATAGAGGTCTTACAGGCTTAGAACGACATGAGGTTGAGTCATTAAAGGAGAACTCCGGCGAACCTTTGGTCTAATAACACATCGGTACCTGGTCAATCTTTCTCTGAGATTTGTTTTCATGATAATCGAATGTAAAGAGTTTTATCTCTAAAAACTCTTTAGCGTATAATGCTAGTACTGGGGGCATTGACTAAGTAAAAATAAATCGCTAGTTTATACCACTAACAAGACTCAAAATAGCCCCACACTAACACAGTAACATAATGAGGGTCCATACATGCAAAACGAAGCACTGAGAACTTTGTAAGTGTGCAGACCGTTTAATAAAAGAAGATACTTTATAAAGACAGTTCACTTCATGTATACACAGCAAGAGCCATCTTAGAAAATAGTCTCGATAAGTCGATCCCCGAACACCGTTCATACAGTTCAGAAGTTCGCTGAACTTCATACAGTTCAGATCACTCAGCACGGTGTTCGGAGATCGACTTATCGAGACTATTTTCTAAGATGGCTTCTGTCTGTATACACAAAGTGGACTGTCTTAATAAAATATCTTCTTATTAAACGGTCTGTACACTTACAAAGTTCTCAATGCTTCGTTTTGCATGTATGGACCCTCTTTATGCTACTGTGTTAGTGTGGGGCTATTTTGAGTCTTATTAGTGGTATAAACTAGCGATTTCTTTTTACTTAGTCAATGCCCCCATTACTAGCATTATGCGCTAAACAGTTTTTAGAGATAAAACTCTTTACATTCGATTATCATGAAAACAAATCTCAGAGAACGATTGACTAGGTACCGATGTGTTATTAGACCAAAGGTTCATTGTTCGCCGGAGTTCTTCTTCTTCTTCTTTAATAGCAAACAACTTTTAGGTGCATACCGCCACCTACTGTACTGGAGTGTTTATCATCATGTTATTTAATAATTAGTTAAATTCTATTCCACAACCTTGTGTCTTTTAAAAATTTAAATAGTGCCTTCCTAGTAATTCTTATATCCTCTCTCTCTCCTTCTGATCCCAGTATCCCTACCAGATTCCACTCCCGCCCTGTCTGCTGAACCTTATCTTTAAATACCCGTCTTTCCACCTCATTCAATGTACAGTACAATATTATGTGTTCAGCATCTTCTTTAACACCACAGTTCTCACATTTATCACTATTCCTTTTGCCCATTAAAAATAAATGTAATTTTTAATACTAACAGATTTTTGAAATTTATAATATTTCCTTCCTTTCCTATCTTCTTCCCACCAGTTCTGCCATATTTCAAGTCCTTTTCTCTTAACCACCGCTTTTCCTTCACCTTTTCCTAGTGGAATTGTAACTGTTATTACCTTTAGCAATGCCCCTTTTGCCAGTTTATCTGCAATCTCATTCTCTTTTATCCCCTCATGTGCTGGTACCCAACAAAACTGAACATCTATGCCACCCCGATGCAATCTTAACAAACTATGATAATCTTCTCTGACCGATATCATTGACTGAATACTTTTTATGATAGCTAAAGAGCATATTACCACCTTTTCTGGTCTGACCTCTTCAACCCACTGCAATGCAATAATGACTGCTACTATTTCTGCTGTATATACAGATAACCGGTCAGTTAGTCTTTTGGAGAAATTTATTTTAAAATCTGGAATATGAATACCAACTCCCACACATTCCTGTTTATTCTTGGCTCCGTCTGTATAAATGTTTAATTAATCAAAATAACTGTTTCTCATGTAATTGCTTGTTTTAATTCCTAATTCCTCCATTCTCAATTCTCTTTTCTTTTCCGTGATATTAATATCAGTCTTTACTTCTGGGAAAAGCCATGGTGGTATATTACTTAATGGATTGGCCGTGGTGAAATCTGAGGCTTCCATTTCATATCCATCCAAACCCAAACCCCTGATATTTTGCATACTCCCAAAATTCCTGAATTGTATCTTTTGTTGGGTTTTCTTTCCCACTTCCTTTTAGTCTGATCCAATACGTCATCGCAAGTTTCTCTCTTCTTAACTCCAATGGTATCTCTCCGTCTTAACAGCTCTGATGCATACATGTAATGCTCTACTGTAATCTTTTATTTTTTTCCAATGTTGTTTTTGCTTCTGTTCCATAAACTACACAACCATAATCAATTCATGACCTCATGCATGCCCTATAGATGTTAATTAAAGACTGTCTATCTGCACCCCAGTCACATCCAGCCACAGCTCTCAGAAGATTTATAACTTTTTTGCATTTAGTTTCTAAATGCTTAATGTGTATTTTCCATGTACACCTATTATCAAACCATAGACCCAAATTTAAATTCATTTACTTTCACCATTTGTTGTTCATATAATGTTAACTTGTCAGCATATTGGTTGCGCATCTTTGTGATCATCATATAACAAGATTTGCTCGTCGACATCTTAAACCCCCACTTATATGACCACATCTCTACTTTATTAATTGCTTTTCTTATATTTTCTAATACATATGGCACATTCCTTCCTCTCATCCAAATGGCCCCATCATCCGCATATAGTGCGGATTTGATACATCCATCCAAGTTTGAAAAAATATCATTTATCATTATGTTAAATAGTATTGGACTGATTGCACTCCCCTGGGGAATACCATTGTCTACCTAATTCCATTGACATCTCTGATCCAACCTTAACTTTAATTTTCCTACCTGTTAAAAAGTCCTCAATCCAATTATACCTTCCTCCAATACCCATTCTATTTAATTTAATAAGCAGTCCTTCCCTCCACATGGTATCATATGCCTTTTCCATGTCAAAATATACACTATTGGCATTAGTTCTTTCATTTTCAATGCCTTTTCCAAATCATTACTCGAACTATTAGTAATGTATCTATTGTAGATCGTCCTTTCCGAAATCCACTTTGTATATTAGTCAGCAATCCTCTCTGTTCCAATATATGTGATATTCTGCGAACTATTACATTTACATAAATGAGACGTCAAAGCTATAGGCCTATAGTTATCAGGGTTAGCTGGATCCTTACCAGGCTTATTAAATGGTAATATTACTGCACTTTTCCAACTATGCGGCAGTATTCCATCCCTCATATCTTATTAAAAAGTCTCAATACTAATTTGGATGATTCAACTGGTATCTGTCGGAACATGGCATAACATAATTGATCTTGTCCAGGAGCTGTATATCCAGTGCCTATGTTGAGTTCCGACATTGTAAATCCATAGCGTTGACACCCCATCCTCCTTTTTCATCTTCACTTCCTTGTTCTCTCTTGAGTGCAAGTTCTTCCTGCTGCTTATGAATTTCACTCAGGTGATTACCACTGTGTACTGCCCTACCTAACACTTCTGCCTTTTCTTTATGTTCGCCGGAGTTCTCCGTTAGAGTCATTCATTTTTGGCTGAACTAACCCTTGAACACCATCAATGTTTGAGTGCCCTCTGCAGACTCCAAAGAGTATCACACACACATTTCTTCACGCTGAGATCTCTGTTCATAAGTGTCAGCAGCAGCAGCACATTCAAATAATCAAAAGAAAACTTTAATGATACAATAATAAATACATGTCACTGACATGTTTCTATATAACACATTCATTTTTAAATACATTTAGGGATGCACTATATCTTTGTTTTTTAATGTAATCTCTGTTTATGCAGGGTATTATTAATGGCAAATGAAATAAAAATGGACAGTTCTTATTTTTCTAAAATATTGTTGTATTTTATTATTAATTACGTATTTATCTGTGCACATCATTTAATGTGCCTCATAATCTTTAATCAAATTCCCCCTTCCTCTTGCAGCATCTCTTCTCTTCTCTGATGACGAGAAAGCAAACCACAAACATCCAATCAATGAATTAATCATGGACAAAATCAAGAAGTTCAAGAAGTCATTTCACTCAGTCACAACAGGGAAGAAAAGACTTTAAGAGCTGTATCAGAGTGATGATAGCAAAACCATTTGTGTTCATGCATTGCAATGAGAAAAAGGGAGGCTTTTGTAATTATTTTGTTAATTTTATTAGTCAAATTTCATAACCATAAGTGTAAGTTTTCTAACAAAAAGCCCCATTTCTCTGTATTCCTTATAGAATTCAAAAAATATTTTTCGACTATTCAATCTAGTACTAATGCAAAAGCTAATAAGAATGTACATTTGTGTACTGTCTTCAAAATGTTTATAATATTTTTTTTTTATGTAAATATGTGGTCATTGCTCACCTGGCTCTAAAAAGAGTATCTTGTATTATTTTGTTTAAAGTAATACAAAATAAAGAACCATTTTTTTCTTATAAAAAGAACCACCATCTTTATAAATGTTACTTTTAAATGCACAGCTAACACTGTTTCTTTGTTTTTTGTATAATATCCAAATACCCATTAAAATCATTTAATTCCATAGGTTATAACCCAGAGCTATGGACTAATGTGGGCTCTAGCACGGCTCAAGTGTTTCCGGCGACAGACTTTCAGATGAATCGATATATATATACAAACGCAAAGCTTGGTCTTATGTATTTATCTCACAGCCTATTGTAATGTTGTGGTACATTGTTTTAGCATTAGCTTGTGATGTGTTTGAACGTGAAATCACAATTTCAATATCAGTGCATCCCTAATTAATGCATCCAGAAATGAATTGCCAGAATTACCCACATGGATATGAACGCATGCACGGAGACTCTATAGACCCGTCTACTCACGTGTTCAGAGTGTGTAACAGGGTCCTGCTGCTATAGTAGTCTGAGCAGATAATGAACCAGCACAACCCAGGTGAGAAGGAAACACACAGGCGTTGACCGAGATGCCTAAAATAAACAAAATAAAAAGGTATTGTTTCAGTATATTTAGTAGATGCTCATTTGTTGCAAAATACATCTTAAAGAGATACCCAAAAATGTCAAAATTCTGTCATCATTTACTCACCCTCAAGTTGTTGCAAACCTGTATGAGTTTCTTTCAGTTGTTTGGCACCATTGACTTCCACAGTAAAAAAATACAATGGAAGTCAATGGTGCCCACAAAAAAATGCTGAAAATGTTGGGTTAATATGGACAAACCCAGCCATTGGGTTACATTTTTAAATTACATTTTTAACCCAATGTTTGAGTTAAACTCATACAGGTTTGCAACAACTAGAGCGTGAGTAAATGATGACAGAATTTTCATTTTTGGGTGGAGTATCCCTTTAAGTTTGCCCTTGAAATTTAAAGAGTGATTTCCCACAGGGATGTCCAACTTCGGTCCTGGAGGGCCACTATCCTACAGAGTTTAGCTTCAACCCTAATCAAACACACCTGAACAAGCTAATCGAGGTCTTCAGGATCACTGGAAAGTTACAGGCAGGTCTTTTTTTTTTTCTGGGTTGGAGCTAAACTCTCTCGGACAGTGGCCCTCTAGGACCTACAGGAATGATTTAAAGGTGCAGTAAGAGATTTCTGAGAAACACTTGATATTTGAATCAACCCAAACAAGCACACCCCTCCCTTCGTTGTATTCAACACGCAACGGGAGAGTGGATGTCTCTTTATCACCGCTGAAAGCAAAGCTAAACAATGCTTCAATGACTCTCAAAACTCTCCTGTTTCTATAGCCAACATTCATTAGTTCAAAATGTATGGTGTGCTCTTGTGTTTTACAGTTCTCTCCACAATGTGGAGCAGTGTGACAGTGTTTTATTGTCTGAGATTTTTCCATTGTGTGTTTAAAGCAGCAGATGTTGCAAATGTAATGCATTTGCTTTCTCTCAGGAATTCAAATGGCTTTGTATAATTAGTAGCTTGTTTAATTAAACGTGCATGCATAAATAAGTTGATTGGTGCGCTGTTGAGAGCACGTCCCCCGCCGCATTTCCTCTGTTTACAGATGCCTTCCTTTAATGCAGAACAGAGCCATTGTTTAACTTTACAACACATGAGGATAAGAAGCAGATGGAGCTTTCAAATAGATCCATGTTCTTAAAATAACGGGGACACCTGTTTACATTCATGTTCACTCCCCGTTTGCTTCGTCAGCAGATCCACAGTGCCTCGTCAGACAATCTAATAAAACATGTCACTTCACCTCGAGGGTTTATTGCACTCATTAAACATGAATATTATCTCATCCACTGATATTTTCACAGCACACAGAGATTAAATACAGAGATTGGTTTTAATTTTCTGCAATAAATCTAATCGCCAAGCACATAAGTGTGTTTTATGGAAACAATGTGCTGTTGAAATCATCCAGATATTTTAAAAGTTCTGCAGCTCTGGATTTCACAATGTTTTCCTGGGGTGTAAGAACAGGTCATGACTTATTTCCTAATTTTTCACTGAAGATAACACTTCCATGTTGTTGAAGTAAACACAGGGATTAAGATGGCTGACCTCTGTGTTTCTGTGTGGAGGAGTTCGGTCCGCCCGCAAAAATGGTAAAGTACGCAATTGCACTTTCACAATCCCATCTCAAAGACACAAGGCATTTGTGTCTCAGAAAAGATGAACCACATTACTCAAGACTTCATAATGTATTGGGACATGTGAGTGTTCTGTGTATTCAGCATATTATAACAGAAGAGGTTGAAGAAATACCTGATTCCTATCATTGACTGTGGGCGCAGTGGGCTTTGTTTCATACACACTTCCATCTGTTTCTGTAAAGCTTGTTTCTTCTCCAGCGTCTGTGCCTTGTCCCATTAAAAACTTCTCTAGATCATCACTGCTGGCATTACCTAATGAGACACATACAGTGGATCTTAAAGAATGAGCAATGATAATACTTCATGCAAGTACATAAACGCATACAGTACCGTTCAAAGGTTTGGGTTGGTACGTTTTTTTGTGTACACGTTATTTTGATGCTCTCTGTGGCGATCAGGACGAGAACGGTGGCGTGATTGATAATCTGCGCGACGCACCAGTCTCGTTTCTCTCACAGAGAAGCGGAAGCATAAAGGAGAAGAGATGACAGTGAAGAAGTGAAGAATCAATACTTTTTTCAAAAAGAATCGCTACTTTTTCATAGTTTTAAACTATGTATAATTACATTATAATAAATAAGACTGCAACAAATGTATAATTAAATTTTTTACACTACATTTTTCAAAAATAATCGCTACTTGACAAAATAATAATGTAACAAATGTATAATAACACTGTAATAAAAGTATAATTACATAGTAATAAATGTATGATAACACTGTAATAAATGTATAATTACATTGTAATAAATATATAATAACGCTGTAATGTACAATTACGTTGCAATAAATGTATAATTAATTGTAATAAATGTATAGTAACAACACTGTAATAAATGTGTGATTACAGTGTAATAAACGTATAATTACATTGTAATAAATGTATAATGACAATCATGAAAGGAATCGCTACAATGCTGACTCGGTGATCAAGAATTTCTTCTTATCAATATTTTGTAATATGTTTTTCAGGATCCTTTGATGAATAAAGAGAAAGAATCTTACTGACCCCAAACTTTTGAACGGTACATTGGGCTTTGGTTTTCATGTTCCTGCAATATAAAACTGATGATGATGATCAATGTACATTATACTGACATGGCCTTTAATTCATTGTTATGCTGTAGTTACAGTCAGCAGCATGTTGTATATTGTGACTTTTATATGGTTTTACTGTGATGAGACAATCCTATTAGAATTCCCACATAAAAATGAATGCATAATAACTGTATGATTAGATTTCTTCTAAGATTAATCTCTCATGAGGCGGACCTCCTGCTAGTAATGAATGACACTCATTTGTTGCGGTCGGGACACCCCTCGCCCTCCATCTGATTCCAGAGATAAACAAGCGGGCTGTGACTACAACTCTGCACCTCCTGCCCCGTTGTATTCACGCCTTTAGCTCGACTAGTCTAATCATGTCTGAGGAACTCAATGATTAGATCTTAACAACCCAACATACATGTGAAAATAAAATGATGAACATATTAGAAATAAAGGTTCAGTGAGTGGGCTTCTACATAGAACTTTGTGGTTCTTGACTCAATTTTAAAGAACCCTTTATGCCTAAAAGGTTCTATAGAGAGCCTAAGTCCCTCCCCTTCCGGTCGACCACCATGGGACCTTATTTCGGAAAAATATTGAATGGTAGTCAATGGCGAGAGACAAATATTTTGATCTCGTTTGAATTGTGCCCTGAATTACACATATCATGTTTGTCAATTTAAAAGATACATTTTAAAATAAAGAAAGTCGCAGTTTGATATGAAACCGTTGAGGTATAAGACTGTGAAAACACGTAATTACAAAGACTACAAACCCCAAAGGTGCACATTTTCTCTCAATGAATGAAGCCTCAGAACTTTACTGAGGCTGTCTGTCATTGTTTCTATAGTCTTACATTATAATCGTAACGTTACGCCATCATACCTGAGTGTTTTGTACCAGACTGCACACACACGAGAGATGTAGTTCATTAAGCGATTTTCACATAAAACTAAATGTTACTCTTCTGTTTTATGACAAACTGCGACGTTTTTGACTTTCAGAATTATCTTTTAAATTGACAATCATATGTGTAATTCAGGGCACAGTTCAGACGGAATAAAAAGATAAGTTGTCTCTCTCCATTGACTACCATTCATATTTTTTCCGAAATAAGGTCCCATGAGCCGGAAGCGGAGGGGCGGGACTTAGGCTCTCTATAGAAGGAGAAATGTATGAAATGATTACCCAATACTTTCATGTTTAATATTCAAAACGTTTTTGTGTAATAGTATGTTTATGAGCGATTTGATTTATAAAAGGAATTCACTGGCACTTTTTTTTTTCCTACTATGGAAGTCAATAAGACCAGATACTGTCTGGTTACTGATATTCTTCTAAATACAGTATCAGAAAATCGGTTGAATGCATTTGAAAACGGTGAAACTCAGTTTAACTCTGGGGGAGTTGTAAAATGAGCCTATTTCCAAAAAAGTAAAGTATCCCTTTAAGTACGTTGAATTGTTTAATTGTTTTAAATTCTATGAACTTAAATTTAACTGAAACTGGGTTGGGATTTTATTTCCCAGCATGCTTTGCTTTGCCATGATCCTTAAAAGGGAGAGTAAATGCGAAAATTACGTGTTTTGTGCCAGATTAATGTTAAGCAGGAGATTTAGTGGTTCTTAATATTTTGTTTTGCTAGTTTTAAAGAGTTTCTGGTTTTTGGGTTTTTTTGTGGAGCATGTGGAGCAAAGCATTGGGTCACCAATTAGCAAAGTAGCATTTTTTAAATAAGCTGGTTAGAGCTAGCAAGTTTCCACTATACTAAAAATATTTAAATTGAGATTACATGATCATTTTAAGTTGTGTGTGAATAAGCTTACTCAAAATGTATGATCTGCCAGTTCTGCTACTTAAACGTTACACTTCTTGCCTTAAACAATGTGATGTAACTGATTATCAAATTATTTGAGTGTTACCAACTTATTTGGGTTTACAGTGCATAAAATGATCCGGGTAAAATGACGGGAAGGTTCACTAGTGGCCACAAGCGATGTCTTGGTGGAGATATTTGTTTTTAATGACCCTACAAGTTCAATTAAAATATGAGGAAAATAAATTTTTTTAGTTTTATTTATTTAAACATTTTAAATATGAGGGAAGATCAAAACACTAAACGTTGTTAAGGTATTTATCTGACAATTGTTTTGGGCAAAATACAGCTACAGGTTTACTTTACTATGCAAAAAAAAGAAAGAAAGAAAGAAAGAAAGAAAGAAAGAAAGAAAGAAAGAAAGAAAGAAAGAAAGAAAGAAAGAAAGAAAGAAAGAAAGAAAGAAAGAAAGAAAGAAAGAAAGAAAGAAAGAAAGAAAGAAAGAAAGAAAAATGCATAGAAAAACTAAAGGCTCAGGGGAAAGCATACATTGACTAAAACATAATCAGTAATATTTCAGCTCTCTGTTGTATTTGCATGTGTTTATAATTTCTTTGTATGACAGCCTGGGTAAATATTATGTCACGCAATTTGTCATGTTTCATTATCACACATAAAACTATTGACTCCAAGCTAGCAATATACTTACAAAATCTTTAACAAACTTTTAATATTTGGATTAAGGGTGAAGTCTTCCTGGACCGGACGTCACTTTTGGCCACTGCATTTACAACGCATTCTCACCCCAAGGCGTCACCTTTGACCATGCTTCAATATTTGACGTTTTAGGCGCCCTTTAGCGTCACTTACATGACGCGATCCTACGGCGTCATCGAACTGACGCTAAAGCAAAGCGTCAGTTAGAGGACGCGGTTAGGTTTAGGTGTGGGGTGGGGGTAGGGTACACGCGATCCTAGGGCGTCATCTAACTGACGCTAAAGGGCGCCTAAAGCGTCAGATATTGAAGCATGTCCAAATGCTTCCCAAGGCGTCAGTTAAGTGACGCCTTGGGGGTGAGAATGGGCTGGCATTAATGAACGTTCCAAACAACCTTTTTTTTTTTTTTTTGTATGTATTCAAGTTCTCTCATTTTGGAAATGTTATGAAAACATGATTTTTTAAATTGTTTTCTAAAAGTTCCAAACATCCATTTAAAAAAATGTTTTAAGAACGTTTTGTCTAAACATTTACACATAACTTTTAAAGAACTTTAGTGAAAGTTATGGGAACGTTCTCTTTTGGTTATAAAAAAACGATAACTTGCTGGGAACATTCTGGAAAGCTCTCTTTAAAAAAAATGCAAAATACAAGCAATTACCTGTAAATTTAATAGTGGACCTTTAAATTACAGCAAATATCTGTGAAAAAATATAGGCTATTACCTGTAAATTTACTTTTTTTTTTTTTTTTTTTTTTTTTTTTTTTTTTACAGTGTGTGTATGAATAACCTGCAGAACTGTTTAAAGTTCTATATAGACCCTTTGTGAGACCATTGAAAACCTACTGAAGAACAGGAACCCGAACGTTGAATTGTAGTCGTACTCCGGGGTATGCGTGGAATCATAGTCAAAATTATATTCGTCCTCGTCAGCACCTGCCAAGACAAAAGAGATTTGATTTAGCTTTGTGAAAAACTCACAATTGTGGGAAGCAATGTGGAAGTCAGCATCTGTGCCGATCACTCAACATGCCTGTTGATGAACTTACATTCACACAGTCAGACAGGGATTGTCATGGCATGTCAGCCATTAATTATGACTTCCCTTCACAAACACAATTAATGCTTTGAACATTATCTGTCTATCTTTACTGACCAACACATCCCAGTCACCTCACCGAACCATAGAGGACATTGTTTGCCATTGAAAAGAAGCAGAGTCAGTAATTTGAGATCTTTGTATTGCTTCTCGCATACTATTGCCATTTGTCAGTTATGTGAGACCATTCAGCATGACATTCTTTCTTCCCAAGCATTCTGTCTGTTCCTGCATCTGTGATACTGTGAGATTACTGGGGACTGAGATGATAATGAATGAAGAGCCAGCAGTAACATCTGTGAAGCCAGTTCTGTCAGGCTCAAGAGATTGTGAAAAGACATTTGTTTAACAGAGATTTGACTCATCAGCGTTGAGTTTTTTAGATCTGACAACCGTTCAAAAGTTTGAAGTCGGTACAATTTTTTATGTTTTTGAAAGAAGTCTCTTTTGCTCTTGGGCGGCAAAAATCGAAGAAGAAAAAAAACATAAACATTGTATTATTTAAAATAATATCTATTTTGAAACAGTTATTTGAAAATATTGTAAAGTGTAATTTATTCCTGTGATTAAAGCTGAATTTTCAGCATCATTACTCTAGTCTTCAGTGTCACATGATCCTTCATAAATCATTCTAATATGCTGATTTGCTGCTCAAGACACAATTCTGATTATTATTAATGTTGAAAACAGTTGTGCTGCTTGATAATATTGTGGAAATTGTGACACTTTTTTTCAGGATTCTTTGATGAAAAGAAAGTTCGAAAGAACTTTTATTTGAAACAGAAATCTTTTGTAACATTATAAATGTCTATACTGTAACCTTTGATCAATTTAACGTGACCTTGCTGAATACATATTAATTTCTTTCAACAACAAAAAAATCTTACTGACCCCAAATTTGATCAGTATTGTGGCTATTATAACAGATTTTTTTCAAAGTTGAAATTAATAAGACCCTATTTTATTCTAAGAATGCTTGAAAAAGACAACTGTTCTTCTTTCCTAAATGAGTCACAAGAGACAAGGCATCATGGGATGTGTAATCGGACTAGGTGGAGTATCAGCTTGTCTTTGCATAAAACCAAAGTCCTTTTAGGCAAGTCATGCCACACGGCCGCCATCTTGGCAACGCCTCTGGGCAGCTATTTCGGACTACCAAGACCAGGCTTCTATTTAAATGAATCCCCCACAGGTTATACTTTTACTACGCATGCGCAAGGGTTCTCTCGCTCTCTGTCATGTGCTCGCTACTGCTCGCTTGCTCTAGAGTCTGGGAGATTTGGCACCAGGGAGATCTATCAATCTGCGGGACTCACAGAACTTGGGACGTCTGATATTTACACAACTAACACATATCAAATATGCCGCCTTTTCAAACAGTAACACATTTTCTGCTGTCGCAAACCTCAATTGTGTGCATGCGTTGGTGGAACCAGACGATAGGCTTAACTGTTTCCCGACTTCACTGTTAAAAAGCAGACGATTGGCTTTCCAGTGGGAGGGACAGGACATGTCAATACAACCGCCATCTTTGGTGTTACGGGTTTTCCCTATAGTTGTATTGAGGATTTAGTAAGTGGCATGTCTCTATAAATAGTCTCTGATAAAAACCTGAGCTTCAGGATCTGGATCTGGCACTTGATGTCTATCTGGCACTGGATCTGGATCTGGCAAGGGATCTGGCAAGGGTTCTGGCACTTGATCTGGCACTGGATCTGGATCTGGCACTGGATCTGGCAAGGGTTTTGGCACTTGATCTGGCACTTGATCTGGATCTGGCACTGGATCTGGATCTAGCACTGGAACTGGCAAGGGTTCTGGCACTTGATCTCTATCTGGCACTGGATCTGGATCTGGCAAGGGATCTGGCAAGGGTTTTGGCACTTGATCTGGCACTTGATCTGGATCTGGCACTGGATCTGGATCTAGCACTGGATCTGGCAAGGGTTCTGGCACTTGATCTGGCACTTGATCTGGATCTGGCACTTGATCTGGATCTGGCACTGGATCTGGATCTAGCACTGGATCTGGCAAGGGTTCTGGCACTTGATCTGGATCTGGCACTGGATCTGGCAAGGGTTCTGGGACTTGATCTCTATCTGGCACTGGATCTGGCAAGGGATCTGGCAAGGGTTCTGGCACTTGATCTGGCACTTGATCTTGATCTGGCACCTGATCAGGATCTGGCACTGGATCTGACACTGGATCTGGCAAGCGTTCTGGCACTTGATTTGGCACTTGATCTTGATCTGGATCTGGCACTTGATCAGGATCTGGCACTGGATCTGGCACTGGATCTGGCACTTGATCTGGATCTGGCACTTGATCTATATCTGGTACTTGAACTGGATCTGGCACTTGATCTGGATCTGGCACTTGATCTATATCTGGCACTTGATCTGGATCTGGCACTTGATCTATATCTGGCTCTTGATCTATATCTGGCTCTTGATTCTGGATCTGGCACTTGATCTGGATCTGGCACTTGATCTGAATCTGGCACTTTATCTATATCTGGTACTTGATCTGGATAAGGCACTTGATCTACATCTGGCACTTGATCTGGATCTGGCACTGGATCTATATCTGGCTCTTGATTCTGGATCTGGCACTTGATCTGGATCTGGCACTTGATCTGAATCTGGCACTTTATCTATATCTGGTACTTGATCTGGATCAGGCACTTGATCTACATCTGGCACTTGATCTGGATCTGGCACTGGATCTGGCAGTGGCACTGGGCACTTCACGATCCAGGATCGGGAGCTGGCACTAAAAACATCAGTCTCTTGATGATTCCTCTGAATCATATGGAAATCTCCTAAATCTTTGGGTCACCGTGTATTTATAGTACTGGATGAGTCCCTTCAGTACTGATTCTCCTCAGAGTTCAGTTTTGATAGGATCCGACCCCAGAATCTACTTCCTTAAGCTAAAAAAAATAATCTGTCAGGCTTTTCCTCTTACATCTTACTCATTTATACAGCTGTTCAGCAAGACCAAGGTGATCAGTGTTTTTTCTTCAGGGAATATGTGAATGATATCCAGACTACACCTGGGAGTTGAGCCCAAGAATCCCACCTCATATGCCTTAGGCTTATCTGGATTTGTCTGACTCCGTTTACTTTGAACTTTTTGGGGAGAAAGGCAAATATCAGATGTCAGAGCAGAAAAGGATTGTTAAAAGCTCTGTTCCACTGTAATTTACACCCAGACACATTGTAAAAATTGGTATCCTGCGATTGTTTTCTTAAGAAGCTGAATGTGTGGTTCAATAGTATTCATGATTTAAAATCCTTTTGCATGCCTATTTACTCGATTCTTATTGGTTATTCGCAACATCCAGTGGTCCGAAATTTCCCAATAAAAATTTCCCACCGTATATTAGTTAGCTGAAGTTGCTACTTTAGTTTCTCGTACCAATGATTCATTCATTTCATACAAACATAAGTAATCAGAAGCACATTTCCTCCACACATCACACGAAAAATCATGCTTACAACAAAATGTTGTAATTATGAGATAAAAAAATAATCATGACATACCAACCCGGTCTCATCCCAAATCGTCATATAACTGACGTTTTGGGACGTCTTTTGACCATACGTCAATATTCGCCTTTTTAGGGCCCCCTTAAACGTCGGTAGATGAGGTTATGGGATCCTAACTCTACCCCATACCTAAACTTAACCCTAAACCTAACCCGTCACCTAACTGACGTTAAAGGTAAAGCGTCAGTTGTATGACGGCCCGGGATCGCCATCTACCGACGTTTAAGGGGGCCCTAAAAAGGCGGATATTGACGTATGGTCAAAATACGTCCCAAAACGTCAGTTATATGACGATTTGGGATGAGACTGTGTTAGACATACAGATTTTGACTTTTTATCTCATAATTTTGACTATTTATTTATTATTTACTTGAGCATTATTTTTTCTCCTATGTGGCGGAAATGGGCTTCCAGAGTAATCAATTGCTGTGAACGTCCACTTAAATATTAATATTACTGTAATGTTGTTTGTCTTGTCACTAGGTGTGTACATTTTAATGGGCAATTAGTAACTGGCATTTGAGAGTTGAATTGCCAGTGTCAATTTATTTTCAGTCTCTTATACCTTATTTAATTCCATTGTTGTTTGAAAAATAATTATTAAATACAAAATTTAGGAACCCTTTAGTTTAGGGTCCAATTCTCACTGTGAATGAGTTGCTTATTAGCACTTATTAGCTAAGATATTGGCTGTTTATAAGTGCTTATTAAGCACATTAATGCCTGATTCTGCATGACCATATTCTACATCCCTCAATCCTTCCCAATACTTAAACTGAACAACTGCCTTTAATTCTATTAAGAAGTAATAATTAGCAGTTTATAGAGACTAAAGTCATAGTCTATAGTGAGAATTGGATGCTAATCTAAAGTTTGACCAAATTTTTGGCTTTTGTTCTTTTGGAAACTATTAATTTGATTTTTTTTGTTGTTGTTGTTGTTGATTTCACACATAGAAATATATGCATAATAAGTTTATGACTAATATTTATTTTAAATGATCCAAAGTTCAACATCATGAAGATTAGATACGAAGCACATTATTTCTATATTGTAGATGAGAGTGTTTGATTGACAGCATCATTGAACCCAAAACCCAAATGTTTTGCCATACATGACCAAGAAATGACATCATGGCTGTGTGCCAGTACCATTAGTTCTCTAAACCGTTTCCCAGACTGGCCTTGCTTTATCATTACAATCACCACTGAAGAATGCTCTGAGCAATTTTTCTTCATCATCCACATCCTCGATGTTCTTTTCAGACCAATCATAATCAAACTTACATGCAGTCATACTTCTTTGGAGACTGTTGTCTATGGACTAATGATCATCTGCACGCATAATCTTTTCACTTTCTCTTGAGATTCGTGGGAAACAGGGCCAAGTTAATACCTGGATCAACACCAATAAACAAGTGGTACCATAAACAGCATTGAGGCTCAGCACTCTTCCTCAGCGAGCGGGATCTGTGGTCAGCATGCCATGTGTGGTTTATTTTACAGTCATCATCCCTAGGGTATAGCAGTCAATCTCTATTAAAGGGATAGTTCACTTTGAAATTAATTTTTGGTATGTTTTAGCTTACCTCAAGGGGCATTCAAGATGTAGGTGTCTTTGTTTCCACAGTAGTTTCATTTTTGATTTTTTTAGGTCAAACCGTTCTAGTCTGTCAGACATATAATGCAGGTCTATGGTCACCACCTCAAAGAGCATGCACAGAACATGATTTAACGACTCATAAATATAAGTACACATTGATGTCCTAAGACACGAAATGAGTTTGTGTGAGAAAACGAACTGTATAATTTTTACCTCGTAACCAGAGCCACGTCCAAGTGATCTGAGGGCACGAGCGCTTTGTGGCTGTGGTTACAAGTGTTAAAAAGGATATAAATCCGGTTCGTTTTCTCACACAAACTGCTCGTTTCGTATCTTAGGCCATCAATGTGTACTTACATTTATGAGTTGTTAAATCGTGTTTAATTTGGACTTCTCTGTGCATGCTCTTTGAGGTGGTGACCATAGACCTGCATTATATGACTGACAGACACAAACGGTTTGACCTAAAAATATCAAAATTGAAACTACAGCGGAAACAAAGACACCTACATCTTGGATGCCCTTGAGGTAAGCTAAAACATACCAAAAATTTATTTCAAAGTGAACTATCCCTTTAAGCGCCATCTAAATACTCCAAATTAAGCCCCATACAGTCCACAACTCAGGCTATGTGTTCTTATCCAAGCATTATCGTGGTCCCCTTAATCAGATTAGCTTTGACAAACAAAGAAACAAAAATAACAGTTTTGTCTAGGAGTTAACCTGGTGGATTTCAGGGTGAAGGTATTCACATGCCCTGCTGAATGAGTTTCCCTTTCAAGTTCTCCTTCGGCGAGGAAAGTTAATGAAGCTGAGCTGTGAACCGACGGCTCAAACACACATGTTTTACCCCACCGTGCACCACGTTAAATGTTTTTTTTATTGTCCTTGTCACATTGCCACTGAGATTTGAACACAATTCCAGAGTTTAAAGGGTTCAACATACTTTCTGGCTGTTGTCCAACTTCATGTTCTCAGTGTAGACTATAAATCCCAACCATGGTCACACCAAACACACAGCGAACAAGCTGGAACACGAAAGCAAAAAAGTAATGAAAGCTAAGAACAACACCATTTCAACTAAGAATAGTGTGTTTTAAGCTGTGATTGACCATTCGTAGCAGTCACTGACAAACATAGTTCCTCGTGAGGCATTGGGAAATTTAGTCAGGCGGAACTTGACCCTTCAACTCCCATCAACCACCATCAGTCATTCAAAGCCCCCAAAACTTGTGATTTCAAGATGTTATCTTAAAGAAATGTCAAAACAAGCATGAACTCAAAGTTATGAAAATATCCTTAAGGTAAGACTTCACTCCCATAATGATTTTTGGCCAATTTTTCTTACAGCGCCTTATCGCCCTACCCGAACCCCAGGAGGTGGTGAGTTCAGTCCAAAAGTGAATGTTACTCATCTCATGATATCCCTATCTTATGTTTTCCAGTAATTGATTTATAAAATCTCCAGGCTCTTGGCACATACAGTTGGGCACATTCCCCAGCGCAGGCTCTCAAGCACTCCAGCACATCTCAGCGTAAATTCTCCGTGTGCACTAAAAGCGAACAACAAATCACAATGTTTGAATAGTAGTAAATCTTTACTGTGAAGGTTTTACTCCGGCTAAGGATATCACTCAGTCTTCTGCTCCTAATTATCACTTATTGTAGTTCTGCACCACAATGATGTCATGGATGTTCTCACTTCCTCAAGACAAAAGAACGAATTCCTGCTTGTTTCTGCTGGTAGTCTATGAACAGAACAAGAGGAAGTGGGAGCTGTGAGAGTGTGTGTGTGTGGACAGAAAACAGCTGTGCAGGGAACGGTGGGATTACTTTGCCCTCGTGATTGTTATGACCCCCTGGGGCCGTCTGTCATGCCGAAGAGTTTGCGGTGGATTGCACTGTCATACAACTCCATAAGGATGGTGCACTTTTGTGTCCTTTGGAAATTTCCAAACCAGGTTATCTCGACTGGGACTTTAAGAGCTGCGTTTACAAGTGCCATAATGCTCTCGCTTCTTTTGTTCTTAGAAATTTCGCGCAATACTTTGCCCAGACAAAATGCAAAAAATGTGTTAGACGACACATCCTCTTTTGCTTTCTTCAGTTTTTTTTTTATTTAAGGTCGTTTTAAACATAAATGACTATTTCTACCTGATTTAATCCTTGATTTATTTATATTTTTTCAGTATTTAGGGTGATTATTTTATATTTTGCATTGATAAGTCAATTAATTCTTTCATTAATTTGGATGTTACCACATTGTCAGTGCACCTGCTACAGATCAATAACTAAGCTTGATAACTTTCTGAAAATATAGAAGTCTTTGTGTGCACTCAAAGACACAAATCAAAACCAGGTTTCCACAACACACACTTTTCCTGTCAGCGGATCTCTGCATGCTCATAAACATGTTTTGTCAATACAGTGAGAATTTATTTTAACCCAGTTCAGGGTTTTTTAAACTGTAGGTCACAAACCATTTGTGGGACGCAGAGTGGGAACGTGCAAAGTCACTTGGCTTCAGATAAGTCAACGTTTCGGTGAATGACACACACATACACAGTTTAGTCTAGGGCTGCATGAAATACTAGTATTAAATAGAAATCTTACAGCTTTTGGACCCCTTATCTCAAATATTTTGGTGGGTTTTGAGATAGATTTTACTTGTGGGTCTGGAATGGAAAAGTTTGGGAACCCTAATCAATCTATATGACCTAAACACAAAACTAACAAAATTATACCTTTCTTTCTTCTGTGGAACATGAAGGATATATTCATGTGGTTGTTTTGTCAACACAGTGAAAATCAATGTTGTTATGGACCCCATAGACTTTCATTGCATGGACAAAACAGTTTAAACATTCTGCAGAGGCGGACAGAGTACACAGCTCCATTACTTGAGTAAAAGTACAGATAGCCCTTGCTAAATTTTACTCAAGTACAAGTAAAAGTACTACAGTCAGATGTCTACTTAAGTAAAAGTACTAAAGTACTTGAGTATCACGAGTACATTTTCTAAATATATTACTCTGCCACAGTGCGTACATTTATGGAAACGTTCTACATTGAGCTATGAAAAATGTTAATGTTAATACCTTGGAGAATGTAAAAGGAATTCATTTTCATCTTTTTACCATGTTGCTTTATATAACAAAAAAATTCTGAAAATTTCTGAATTTTCAGTTTCGTCTCTTATCTAAATCTGACCATGGAGTTGACTTTGGCGGAAAGCTGAAGGTGATTTCTGATAGCCTGTCCCAATCAGTGGCGCCTGCCCAATCCAATCATATTTGAGAGGGAAACAACAAATTTTTCTTTTTCCTTTTTTTTTAGAAGTAGAACAAGTACTTTTTAGAACAGGTACTCACAGTTATGGATAGAAATGCAGAGGAGTAAAGAGTACATTATTTCCCTCTCTAATCTACTTGAGTAAAGTCATGAGTACTCAAAAATGACCCTTAAGTAAAGAACAAATCCCTCAAAATTGTACTTAAGAACTGCATTCAAGTAAATGTACTCTGTTACTGTCTGACTTTGAATGTATGTATGTGTGTGTGTTCTGCAGATGAAGGAAAAAGTCAGGTTTTGGAACAACATGAATGTAAGTTATGATTTGCATATCCCAATAAGGAAACTATTGCAAGTTAGCACTTTTTTACAGGTTTCTCAGCCTCAAATACAACACATGCAAATGTCTTTTCAAATGCTCACTTTGTAGAACTTTTAATCTCTCACATCCGTCTCATTTCAAACATTCCCACATAGTAAAGTTCCCTCATTGAAGTCAATCTCAGTCTCGCTCTCACTCACACACACACACTCACTCACCCCAGCAGAGCGGCAGCAGTAGAAGAGTTCCTGCCAAACACACTGATATCATCACACAGCGCTGAGGTAGTCTTGCCATGTCGCTCTAAAGGGTTGGTGTGTGTATGTGTGCAGCCTCCACGCTGTGCCTCTGAATGACTGCAGCGTGTGAGTGAGTGTGAGGAGAGGAAACCGCCTGGAGAAGGGGTGGGAGGAAGGAGTAAGAGGGGGTGGGAACTCCAAAATTTTAGATGCCTCATTCATCTGTTAACTAGCACCTCCTTTAAACAATACCAGTGTCTGTCTCAACCCTGAAAGTGGATTAGGGCTATAGCTGATATGACTCTCATTCATTTCAATTGGTTATTTTTAGTAATCTGGAATTTTAAGATAGATGAGAGATGAAAAGACTGACCTGGGGTTGGGATGTGGGTCACAGAGCGCACAGAAAGCAGATGTAAATGTCATCCGCAGCTGTGGGATTGTGGTGTTGTTTCTGCTGTTTGTCAACTGATCTTGATAGTGATAACTTGGACACCTGCTGTGTAGTTAATGGTTCAGAAAAGATGTTTCAAGATCAGTTAACAAAGGCATTTAATGTCGCCCTACAAGAAACTTCAGAAAGTGCTTAAAACACACTGCATATTTATAGTTTTTTGGACATGATTTTATGATAATACCGTTATTTTTTTATTGTACAGTAGTTTTCCAAGTACCTTAAACAGAAGAGGTTTTCCCAGTCTTTAATGCCAAGGACCGCTACATCCCCCATCCTAAATATTGCTCCAAACCAGCATTAGTGAGCCAGTTAATCTGTAGAAAGGAAAATGAGATTTAAATAATCTTCATCATTAATCACATTATTTATTTCTTTTTTTAACATTTAAACATTTTAAAATTTATATTATTTTTGTATTATAATAATTAATTCATATTATAATATTTGTAAAACTATTTAAACATTTGTTTTATATATAATAGTTTAATGGTTTAAATATTTAATCATAAATCACATTATTTATTTATTTTTAACATTTAAACATTTTTTAATATATATTATTTTTTAATTATAATAATTCTTATTATAAAATTTTTAAAATATTTAAACATTTATTTTATCTATGATAGTTTAATGTTTTAAATATTTAATCATTAATCACATTATTTCTTTATTTTTTAACATTTAAACATTTAGCTATTTCGATTAGCCTTCCATGGCATCGAACATCCACATTTACTTTCAGAATTTATAATTTATTCTCTGTCATGTACTGTTCTGATTGATTAATAGCCAGCTGAAAGCCTATATCCATAGTCATAATTACTGTAATATTATTAGGAATTTTAAGAAATTTTAATATATTTAGTTATGTGTATGCATGTTTTTTAGTATTATTATTTTTTAGTATTATTTATTTATATTGTATGAGTGATAGATGTGGAAATCTGTTATCTCTAACTACTGGATGCCTTAAATTTGGGATAAATAAAGTATCAAACAAACAAACATTAGAAGTGCCAGATGTTTTTGAATTCTTCAGAGAGAGTTTCGCACTGCCCATCCTTTACTCAGCAGGAGTTTGAGGAGAGGCTGAGGGTACACAGAGATGGACTCAGTGGCAGGAAAGAGCAGAGCGCAGGGGGTGTTTCAGTGAAGGACGTACATGAATATTCTGGGCCTTTCAGCCTTTCTTTCCTGTCTTGCAGCACTGATGTTCCCCAGCCCTTTCTCTTGGCTCTCTTCAAACCCTCTTCACAACCCCCAGCTGTGGACCGTGGGACTGTGTGTATGAGCTGTGCATCCGTGAGACAAGACAAGCACCTCCTATAACCAGTTAAGATCTATTTTCCTGCTTTAAAAAGCCTAGTCCTCTTATTTCAATCCTAGTCTGTGCCCGTGGGCTGCAGACACACCCTTGGCTTATGCTGAAATCTGAGATGACTTCCATTAAAAGAGAGCAAAACCTCAGACTGACTGCAAGGAGACTGTCAGTGCCCACATGGGTCGTATAGTGGGAAACGGTCATGTTGCTACTGTGCAAGGTGCCAATTCAAACAAACCCCAGTGTATTATTGCTCTTCAGCGGAGTTTGAGGGAGAAGATGTATGTGTTGGGTCCGTAGTTGTGTTGCTTTTACTTGAGTGTAATTTGTCAGGGTTTGACATGAGTAAAGATGACTCAAAAATATATCATGCATTTTGTGAGGATTTATTTTTGATCTGGTATTTTGCTTGATGTAATGTTCTCGTGTGAAGTATTTTCTCTGTGATAGGGGTTTTCAACAGGAAAATCTGGGGAGCTACCAATTATTGCTTGATCTCAACATATTTTTGTGGGAAAAAAAGGAAAATATATGATAAACAATAATACAATGTTTATGCTACATTTTTTCATTGTCCTTCCAACTTTTTTGCATTAAATACTTTCTGAGATGGAGAAAAACATATTTGGCAATGCTTTCTAGTGAGCAAACAAGTTTTTCAAGGGGATGCAAAATATTGTGAGGGGACACAAGGTTTCTCTTTTTTTAATATTGTTATTTAGGTTTGAAATGTAAAAAAAAAAATTTGTTCTCTGTGAGTGAACGCAAAAGCATTGAAATATATTTTTACCTCCCCATCACCATGTCCCTTTATGTCCCTGTTCTTTTGTCATTTCATTATTGCTATTTTGGTTCAATTAATTTTCATTCGTAAGTTTTTCAACTAATATTTATATATTATTTGATATTTGTTTCAACTAACACATTTTTTTAACAGTTTTAATTAAGGATGATAACCCTGCATTCACATCCTGAGTTCAGCAAAATAGTCACTTGCAAGCAACCAAAGCATTCTTAAGTTTTCTCTGAAATATTTTTTGTTACAAATAAAAATATAGTTCATTTTGTATGAAATTGCTCTTTTAAAATGAATCTAAGCCACCATCTCGAGACACACCGGAAAAATGGGATAGTATTTCTCGTGTGAGGGATAAGTGGGGAAAAGAAGGGCTTAGAGATGCATATCTTCACTCCTACCCCTATAAGAGACCGGGCTTCATCTAATGCTTTACTTTCTCTTTTTTTTTTTACTTTATATTTTATGAACTGTATTGCATTCATGATTAAGTGTTTTGGGGGAAACATAAAACATCACTTTTGGATCCCGAATTGAGCTTTTACAGGGATTGAGTCATAATAGAAGTATTTAGAAAGACTATGTGAACATTATCCAGTGGGGGTGAATTGGTGCATGGGCTTCTCTCTTGATTTACATGTGAGCAGGATGTTAGCCACACTCCCACTGATCTCTCCGCGTGGGCACGGCTGAGCAGCGCATCGAATGGGATGTGTGTACGTGAGAACAGAGAAAAGATGAGTCTCGGGGGTCGCTGGAGAGACCCCGGGGGGAGATGGGATGGATCTGCCGCTCTGGCTGTGAGGTCCCACAATGGACAACGGTGGGAGAAAACATTTGTGAGAGTTTAGCAGAGAGCATTTGCATGGAATCTGGGCTCTCCTCCAGAAGCTGTTTTCCATGCACACTGTAAAACCTGTGAGGAATTCTCCATCATGGACTGCTTACACACTAAACACACTCTTTCTTGATGTAGATTACTGTAAAGGAATATTCTGTGTTCAGTACAAGTTGAGCCCAATCGACAGCAGTTTTTTCAAAAATATTCAATTTTCTTTAAAAAAAAAAATAACAACAGTGAGACACTTACAGTAATGTAAGTGAACATTAAAATGTTCCAGTAGCCACAGGATGTAAACAATTTGCTTGTTAAATTGATTTTAAAGGTGGGGAAAAAAAATCACTTACTTAACTTTTCCGTGTAAAGTTAAACCAATTTTACAATTTAAAGTAGTTCACTTTAAAAAAAAAACTTTTGCTGATAATTTACTCACCCCCATGTCATCCAAGATGTCCATGTCTTTCTTTCTTCAGTTGAAAAGAAATTAAGGTTTTTGATGAAAACATTCCAGCATTTTTCTCCATATAATGCGCTTTACTGGGAACCAAACAGTTCAAGGTCCTAAAGACACTTTCAGTGCAAACTGCAAACGGTTCAAAGGGCTTTAAACGATTCCAGACGATGAATAAGGGTCTTATCAAGCGAAACAATCGCTCATTTAAAAAATAAATAAAAACATTTAAAAAGTTTTATAAGCACAAATGCTCACTCTGCTCTGTGATGCACGTTAGTGACTCTCCTGTTCAAGCTTGTTCATCAAAATGAACAAATCTTTTTCCGATTCGTTCATTTCATTCGTTGAATGAACCAAATGACACGAAGATTTGTTCAGTCACGAAGGTGCATCACAGAACAGAGCAAGGCACGCATTTGTGCTTATAAAACTTAAACATTTGTTTGTTTGTTTTTTTAAATGAGTGCTCGTTTCACCTTTTTCATCGTCTGGAATCGTTTAAAGTGCCTTGAACAGTTTGCAATTTGCACTGAAACTGTCGTTTGGACCTTGAACCGTTTGGTGGCCAGTAAAGTCCAGTAAATGGAGAAAAATCCTGGAAAGTTTTCATCAAAAAACTTAATTTCTTTTCGACTGAAGAAAGAAAGACATGGACATTTTAAAAGTGAACTACTCCTTTAAACAACCATGAATGAATACATAGCGTTTTAATAGACGGATTAATGTAAGTTGTGTTTATAAAATTGTAAGATTCACATTTTAGCTTTTACAATATTATTTCTAATGTGCCTCATTGTAACATATTATTCTTTAAAAAAAGAAAAAAGAAAGAAAAACAGACTAAAATAGTCTGTTTGGCAATTAACAATATACCTGTTTAATGAGCTTAACATATATTGAACACTGCAGTAAGTCATGACAGGTTTGATTTTATTTATTTATTTATTTATTTATTTATTTGTATTGATCCTACTGAAGAAAAAAATCCCCAAAGTAACCTTTCATTGAACATTTTTCAGAATTTTTCAGAATTTTTTTCAAGGTTCAATGGATGTTAAAGTTATTTTTCATACCAATAAAAGAGTGTATGTTTAAAATGACATGCTGTAACACACATGGTAGCCAACTGTAGCCTACTATTAAAAAAAATTTGCCATTTATTGAAAAACTTTCCACGATGTTAAAGTGTTAAAACATATGAAATCAGATAACAGAGAAAAAAACATGGCCAATATTTAGTCCAACATCTATTATTTTGAATCACT